TAAACATCATTTTTAATGGCCACGGGAGATAATGGTGGCACCATAAATTTGCAATTTTATAATTTATTATTTATATAATTACAGGACATGTGGAACCCTCCTACTTATTTGGAGGTTATGAGAAGTTATGAAATGTTGAAAGATGATGGAGAACAAAGTGGAGAACATGGAGTATGGAGTGGAGGTTGAAGGAAGTTATGAAAGGTCATGGAGTATGAAATGGAGGGGGAGGAAGAGTGGATAGTTTTAGGTAGTTTTTTCCTACAAATGTTTGCCTATAAATAACCATTTATGGCTACATTGTTAAAGATCCAAAATTCAAATCAAAGACAATTGATTTCTATTTATCCGGTCATTTATATTTTCTGCACTTCATTTTATGCACTTTATTTTTGAAGCATAGGAGTAGAGGTAAGTTCTCTACACTTTATTTTATGCACTTTCTTTTCGAAGTATAGGAGTATAGATAAATTAATGGTTAGTTTGATTGTTCACTCAATCATCTTTCTCCATCTCTGTCTTTCTTCTTTTAATTTTTATGTTCTCTACACTTGGCAATTTCGAAGTCCTTTTCATTGAGGCAAAAGAACCGTCAGCACAATTGCTTGATAATTGGCTTGAATTTAATCTGTAAGGATTTTTCAATCCTTGCTGGCACACTCGCATTTATGGTATTTTCCTTCATAGGAAAAATAAGCCAATAATTTTTGACACACCCAGTGGGACCATAAAAAAATGACTAGATGACGAGCAACGGGAGAAAATGACCACCTCGAAGAAGAGGTAGAAGGAACTAATATAGAGGAAAATGTTGAGCCATATCCTGAAAATGTGTTTGCTTCAAACAATCCTCCATAGTTGGTTGCAGAAACCATTACTTCTGGGTATATAACCCAAGTCTAGAATATTGGACAAGGCCAAGAAGCTGGCCCTTCGACTGTCTCATCCACACCATCAGTTAATCAATGGGGAGGTTTAGTGGATATTATGGGACAACAGTTAATGTATACAATGGAGAGATGAGCAACATCTTTTTTGGATCGAATGCATACATATCAACCACTCATCATTAGACAAGCTGAAGAAAACATAAATTTGCTTCAGCAACAATTGGCTCGAAATAGACAGTCTACACAAAATAATGGATGAAATAATGGTCAAACCAGTACTCAAACACCTCAAAAACCAATACTAGTGCCTCAGTCATGGTATGAGCCCCTTCCTAGAATGTTAACAGGCCAAAACATGTATTTACCTACCTGCGAAGCCATAAATATTGGTGGACTAGGGTCAACACAAGGGAATGGCGGAACATATACTAATCCCATGTTTGAAGCTATACCCAGGGGGTTGGATGGGATTCTTGCAATTGGAAGAGAAACAATGTATGTTCTCTCTCCAGCGGTTCCTTTTGCAGCGCCTTTTGTAGGCCAGGCACCTGCCTAAAGGGGTTAGTCGTATCCTTAGGCTTACCAGGCACAATAGGGACAACCAATCCCAATATGCCTTTGCCTGGACCAAGGGGCCCCCAAGCACAAGTGGTTCCTCCAAACCCAGTGTTTCCTTCCCTAATAGTGGCTCAATTAGCACCAAACATGGTTACCTAGACACCATATTGTATATGTAGTAAGAGAAATCTGTGGACTCATGGCTGGAGGGGTCTAGACTCTTGTCTACAGAAAGCCTTGTCCAGAATGGGTGGATAGCCTGCATGAGTACCCAAGGGGATGTAAAATACCAAATTTCGCCTCCTTTTTTATGGGAACGGAAACCAGGCAACCATTGAACACATTGCTAGATTTACAGGCCAATGTGGTGAATTTACCAATAATGATTATATGAAACTATGACTTTTTCCAAATTCTCTAACTGGGGAAACTTTTGTTTGATACACTAACCTTACACCTGGTTCTATTCAAACTTGGCAACAAATGGAGGAAGTGTTTCATGCCCAGTTTTTTCAAATAGAACCTCGGGTTTCTATGGAAAACTTGGCAAGATTGAGCCGAAGGCCTAATGAAAAGGCTACTCAATTCATTGCCAGATTCAAAAGAGCACGTAACAAATGTAAGGTTGTTTTACCTGAACCTGAATTTGTTAGATTGGCCCAAAATGGGCTAGAATTCAGGCTTCGAAAGAAGTTTGATTCAACAGAGTTTTGAGATCTAGTGGAACTTATAAAGTTTCCAGATATGAAACCTTACTTGAAGAAGAACAAAACCGAGGCAATGCATCCTATAGGACCTATTATAGGGGTCCTAAATTTGAGATTGATGCATCAGAGATCATAGGAAAATAAACTATGACCTGTAAAGCATTGGTTCAAAAGGATACCACAATTGACTAACAATTTAAAAGGAAATATCTTCATAGGAAATATTCTTTTCACATAACAAAAACAGATGACATATTTGATCATTTGCTGGCAGCACATTTCCTAAAGTTGCCTAAGGGGATTAAGATTCCAACTTCTGAAGAACTAAAAGGAAAATTGTATTGCAAATGGCATAATTTTTAGTCTCACTCAACTAAAAATTGCATTGTTTTTCGAGACAGGATCCAAGAACAAATTCGGAAATGGAGACTAAAATTTCCAACAAAGATTGAAAAGGCCATGGGAATTGATGCCAACCTATTTCCAGGAATTAGAGAGGTAGTAGTTAATGTCAACATACCAAATTTTCAGAATATCTCTTTGAAGGAATTTGAAGAAGTCAGTGTGCAAATGTATGTTGCTAGCCAAGCTACCTTCAAGAAGAACACAAAAGGTTCACCAGCTAGTGGACAAAGTTTTGTAGGTCAAAGGGATGGCTCCAGTGAAGAAGCATTGGATGATGACTCCCTCGAAATAGCTGTAATGTAGAGAATGTGTCCCAAATGCAGGTTGAGTTACAAATAGCTGAAAGGACTCCCAATTGATGGGAAGCAGCACTACAAAGACGTGTAGAGAGACTGTAGGCCATCCAACACTTATGGCAGGAGGCCATTTTCGATTGGTTCTAGGTAGCAGCCACCCTTGGTTGAGCTTCCAGATACCAGGAATCTGTCAAGTGATAAGAGGTCTCTGCATGAGATCAGGCCACATAACTACTACAAGACAGTCAGCCAGCCAGCTTAAAAGAAAGCCCGAATTTGGCTTAAGACAAGGCACCAGAGCCAATGATTAGCCTTCAAAGACAGCTTTGAAGATAGCTTCAGAGATAAACATAGTAGGCCCAACAACAGAAACAATAGGTACATGGGTGCCAGGGGTACCTGATTTGTTTGTCATGCAAAACAAACCTAAAGAGATGCCCAGAGTTTTGGAAGGAAAGGAAAGGATGATCAAATCCCCTTTGGTAGCCCCAAATAACTGGATACTACTGAAAAACCCAAAGACAAGGGAACCAGATATGGTTGCTGTAATCTCATGGTCTCAGAAAAGGAAGATCCAACAAAGGTACACCCAGTACCAAAGAGATTTGAAGGCGAATGAAGAAAGTACTTCCTTAGCTCAGTTAAAAGGCCAGTCAAGAGAAGGAGAACGTTCAAAACCTGGACCTAAGACCAAAAAGAGTACCAGCAGGAGCAAGTGGCCAACGTTCATATTGAACTAAGAGCCAAAGAAAAATCCAGTCTAGCAGGACTCGAAAAGGCCTTGATAGAGAGTGACGACGAGATAGATGAAGAAATAAAACCGGGCCAAGAAAAGGCATTGGCTAAAGAAAAAATGTTCGAAGCCTTTATGGCTAAACAATTCTTCATGGTTGAAAAGCTAACAGAACTAGACACCAACAAACTGATTCGAAGGAACCTGCTAGCACTGAGGTACCAGAATGCAGTATCGAGGATGCTTCCCAAGCATCGGAGCAAACAAATATGGAAGCAGAGCGCACACAGCCAATAACACAATTTGACTCATTCCCTCAAATGCCGGTTAATATGGTTGATATGCTGCAGGAGTTTCAAGCTGAGAAGGAAAACCAAAAAGGCCAAGAGAATGATCCCATTCCAGTTTCCAGTGGGGATTCACAAACCAGAATGGTCCAAGATGAATCTGAGGTGACTGGCCCATGGAAACTGATGAAAAGAGTGAAGGGGTAAGCATCAACCTCTCATATCCTTTTGAATACCCTACAGTATCCATGACCCAACATGTCAAGTCCCTGTACATTAAGGCTTACTTCGATGGAATAGAAATGGGCAGAGTATTGGTGGACAATTGGGCAGCAGTGAACCTGCTTCCAAGATCCTCCTTGAAGAAATTGGGGAAAAGAAATCCTAAGTTGCACTACAAGAAATTTCACTTTTGGTGACTAAAATTTTATTCGCCAAAAGCCTTATTTTAGTCGCCAATTACGTTTGGCGACTAATATATTTGGTCGCCAATTTGGTTGCCAATAGTTCGTCGGGAAAGATAATCGGCGACTAAAATTTTTTTGATAGCCAAAAGTGACATATTGGCAACTAAAACTTTATTCGCCATATATTTTTTAAAAATAATTGAATATATATATTTTTTACTTTTAGCTACTAAATTTTTTAGTAGCCAATTGAGCATGTATGTTTGGCGACTAACTATTTTGTAGCCAAAAGTTTCACTTTTTGAGAATTGGAGACTAAAAATTTAGTAGCCAAAAGTTTCACTTTTGACAATTGACGACTAAAATTTTAGTAGCCAAAAGCCAACCTGTGATATTTGTTTAGTTGTTAAAAGGTCTCATTTAGTTTTTATAATTTTTTTTGTAATATTTTTTGCACCACTTGTAACCTGTGCATATATAAAATTAGGGTCCTGCTTAAGTGGGCAACCCCCTTAAGGTTGCACACCATATGCAACCCAATTGTTAGCCGTTAGATTACAATAATTGATCAAGACCATTGAATTGTTTAATTGTGAAAAAGTTGAAACCGGGGCAACCGGTTAATGCTTGTATTTGCATGATTGCATCCCACTCACTCTCTGTATTTCGTCTCTATCTCTCTCTGTTCTCCTCTCTGTGTAAGGTTGAGTCAGTGTAACTGTTGATTTCCATTAACAGGGAGAAGCCCCTGTTGGGTTCGCTCCATTGACGAAGCTCTGTAGGGAACAGTATAACGGGCGATTTCCAACAACAACGTAACTATAAGGCTGTGTTGGTTCCATTGCTGAAGTGAAGCCCTTCTCTCGAACTAGATATGAGGTACGGAGCTGTCTCCCTCTCTCTGTCTCCCTCTCTGTCTCTCTGGCCCGTTCACTTCAGCTATTTTCTCTCAACTAAACCTGCATCCTAACTTCAACCGCTCTACGCTTCGTTCCAACGGAAACCCCTCCATTGGCAGCTAACCTTTCTCTTTCTCTTTCTCAAGTGAGTGTTTGTGTTTGCACAAACAGGTAAACCGTGTGAAAATGTCATGTTTGTGTTTGTGTTAACAATTTTCGGTCATCAAGTAATTGTTTGTAGTAATGTCATGTGCAGTATGGCCCCAGCAGAAGTTAAAAGGGAAGGTGATGATTATGACATTCCAAATGAAGCAGATGACATTCGTTTGATGAATGAAAGTCGGGCAGAACCTGATCATGGTTGCGAAGCTGGTCCGAGCAATGAAGAAGCAACCAACATGAACGTTGAAGATGGCGGAGCCGATGTGAAAAAAGAAATGGTTGACGATGCTCATCACAATGACATGGTTGGTGATCTTGAACGTGCTATTCTGGAACAGAAATTTGATTCGGTCAAAGATGGAGAAGATTTCTACAATGCGTATGCTAAAGCCAAGGGATTTAGTATACGAAAATCCAGATTTAACACAAATAAAGAGGGAAAGGTCGTTAGTAGGCTGTGGTTGTGTTCAAGGGAAGGTCAGAGATTACCAAAATACTTGGACCGTGTTGCTGAGAAGAATAGAGCTCCCAAGGCACTAATAAGAGTAGGTTGCAAAGCCCAATTTCGCATACGGTACGATGCGGATGCTGGTGAAGGGGGAAAGTATGTTGTGACTCACTTCGTCGCAGACCACAACCATGAATTGGCAGAACAACACTGTGTGGTGTATCTGAGGTCACATCACAGTTTAAACAGCACTGACAAAGCTCAAGCAATGGCTATGCGCAATGTCGGTGTGAAGACTAGCCAAATCATGGACTATATGGTAAATCAGTCCTGGTCTTATGAGAATGTTGGTTTCATCCGTACGGATCTGCACAACCATATTCAAGCCGAACGTAGAGCAGAAGTTGAGGATGGTGATGCGCAGGGTGTGTTGGTTTACCTATGCGCAAAACTTGATGTTGATGCACGTCTTTTTTACAAGTATGATGTGTGTAACGATAACAAGTTACAAAATCTGTTCTGGGCAGATTCGAAATCGCGGGCCGATTACGCAAAGTTTGGTGATGTGTTGATATTTGACTCAACTTACAGAACCAATGCATACAAGAAACCATTTGTCATGTTGGCTGGTGTGACTAGCCACTTTAGGACCACGATATTTGCATGTGTTTTGCTAGCTAATGAGACAATTGAGACATACACATGGGTTTTGGAAACATTTATGGAGGCGATGGGCAATAAAGCACCTGTGTCCGTACTGACAGATGGGGATAAGTCGATGCGAGAGGCAATCAGAAGAGTATTTCCAGACGCAAGACATCGATTATGTAATTGGCATCTTGGGAAAAATGCTGTTTCAAATGTTCACATAAGTGGCTTTGCACATGCTTTCAAGCAGTGCATGGACATGGAAACGGATGAGACAAAGTTTGAGCATGGCTGGACGACAATGGTCGAAGAATTTGGACTTCAAACCAACAGTTGAGTGTTGGAGACATATGAGAAGCGTCATATGTGGGCTGAGGCATATATGCGTGGACATTTCTTTGCTGGGATGAAGAGCACTCAGCGCTCGGAGTGTATGAATGCTTATTTCAATCCCTTCCTCCAACACAAATTGAAGCTATATGAATTTGTTAGGCACTATGATCGGGCTCTTGCAAGGATAAGGTATAACGAGGCTGGAGATGATGCTGAAACAAATAACACTTTTCCGGTATTGATTACTCCATTGCGAGATATAGAGAGACATGGAGCTGAGCTATTCACCCGAAATATATTTAGAATGTTCCGTAATGAAATCTTAGAAGAGGGGAAGTTGAATGTGAAGGATGTGTTCCCTTTGCCGGATGGTCAGAAATGCTACTATATTCATAAGTACAGAGTGAAGGACAGATCATGGATAGTAACACACAGTCCAATGGATGCTGCAATGAGATGTTCTTGCATGAAGTTTGAGTCGTTGGGGCTACCTTGCTGCCACATGATATGTGTTATGAAAGCTGAAAATTTAACGCAAATTCCCCCAACTTGTGTGCTGCATAGATGGACAAGGGCTGCAAGCAAGGATGGCCAGCAATGGCCTCAACCCTCAATTGATAGCACTACAACACAGACGGCCCGGTATGGGATATTGTGTTCTTCCTACAACGAAATGTGTTTCTATGCCTCGCAATCAACGGAAGGTTTCAAAGAGACTAGGGATGCATGTCTTCCGATGACGACCCGGATGAAGGAGTTATATGAGAGAAAT